CCTCTAGCCAACGATATCCACGCACTAAACACCTTGTGCAGCTCAGTCATGTCGGTTAGACCAGCCTTGTATGACACGAGTGCTCTCGACGTGCCTTGGATGGATCTCTCTGGATCTCCAAGCCCGGAGAAGCTACGTATCGGTGTGGTCTCCGAAGACCCAACCTTCCCGTTGCACCCACCAGTCAAGAGAGCTTTAGCGGAAGCTGTGAGGCTATTGGAGGCACAGGGCCACTATATTTACAATATTAGTGCCCCCAAGGCCCATGTAGCCGACGCAGTTGCCGTTGGCTTTGAGTTTTTCTTTCTTGACGACACAGGCGCAAAGCACATTGACGCGAGTGGCGAACCTCTAATACGATCCGTGAAGCAAGGCATGGAAGCGTGGGGCGCTTTCAAAAACAGTTTTCTTGATGACATTGCCCACCTTGAAGGTGTCAAGAGAGTGGCTGCACTCAACGTTAAGAGGCACATCATTGCGGATGAATGGAGATCCCTGTGGAAGGATGAAAAGCTAGATGTTGTCATCGGACCGTCGGCGCAACATACTGCAGTCCGGCATGACACGTACGGCCTGCCGCCTTACACATTGTTGTTGAACGTGCTTGACGTAAGTGCTCGAGAGGGCCCGCTCTCCTGTTTGCCGACAAAGAAGAAGACATATGCTGACAATCGAGACAGTACCCCGCATGTGTCATACCGTTCGGCAAGTCTTCTAGCAAACTTGATCCTGAGCCTCTTGTCATGGGCCCTGGTCAGTGCGGTCCGAACTGTACGTCTATCCTTTCTTTTTGCTCCCTCATGACACATTTGCTGTGTGCAATACAAGCTAACGTGTGCCATTTACAGATGAGCCCGAACTCATGGACAGCTTACCAACATCAATCCAAGTCTACACTAACAAGATGCGTGATGAGGAGTGTCTTAAATTCGCAACAGTCATTGATGGAATCTTGAACCCGAAATAAGTTTGACCAATGGCAAGTGTTGGAGGAAGGCCCTCGGCATCATTGTTTCATGGTTAAAGTGAGGCCAGCCAAGTAGTTTTGAATTTTCAAGCAATGTTTAAGCTGCATCTAGAACCAGTGCGATTAGTTGATCAAAGTCCTGACTCAGATACCTTGGTTTCAAGTGATGTACATTGCATGGCCTGATTTGCTGACGCCGGCTATTAGTCTGTGCGTCTCGTGGGGGTTCAGTTGAGCCTCAATGCGCATACGAAGAGATTTGCGTTGTGTTTGAGCGCAGGAGTACTTAGAGCGAGGCTAGTCTATTCCTAGGACTGATCTGGTTGATCATGCGTACTAAAATGCACCGAGAAGTGCGGGAGGATTGTGGCTGAAGGTCCTAACCGGCAATCCATGTATCCTTATCCGAGGTATTAACGTCGCAAAGTCACGTGTAGTGTCCCGTTTTCCTTCTCGATGGAAGCGAGCCCTGAGCTGTGCAGTGGTGGTGGGCTGTGTCGGGCGAATGGCAGCAGAGCCGCAGCAGGAATCGGAGAATCAGTTGAGCAATCCCTGTTGCGCTGCATATAGGGGCGAAAGAGATAAGCGTCGTAGAGGCTTAGTTGGTTACTAGTATTTCGCTAACAATACCGGAATCGTCCTGGGGTAGGAAGCATGTGGCCAGCGTGGCCAAGGCGAAGGACGACATACGCAGTACGCAATAATCTGCGGGGAAACCTTGCTGTAAGGCGGAATAGGGTGGCCCGTCATGAGGGCAATGACGAGATTCAGACGAGTATGGGGAAGTTTGTGGGGTTGAGGTGAGCCGGCACTTGAAAAAGGTTGTCACCATTTGACTTGCCGACCCGTCCAAGGCTGCGACTCCGACAAGCGTGGCGCATTTGCAGATCATGCGGCAACCAAAGGCAATTGTTTTCGGCTCTTTCAAGAGGGGCTCAGCATGGAAACGGCACTATTGTCGCCCTAATACTCGTCGCTAGTCCTCGCAGTTGTCCACAGCATCGCTTGCACTCGCAACGGATCCGTGCGGCAAATCTCACTGCACACAAAGCGCTTCCCAGCCTATCTGTGCCGCTTTGTCATGTTTGGTCATCACTAAAGGCAATCGGCCCATGGGCCTTTTCCAGAAGCTAGGCGCTTTGGTACGATTTTGTCCGTACGTTAAGTCTTATCTGCGCTATACCAGAGATCCAATACGGTCAAATGTGCGTTATGATGCCCATGTCTAAGGAGACAATACTCGGACCTGCGTCGGCCGTGAATAAATGATATAGGCCGCAATCGGCCCTGACACGTGTTGCGTCTAATATCAAGCAACATGTGATGCATTACATATATTCAATGACAAGGCTATAATAAATACTGCCTTGGGCCTCTATTTCTCCGACAGAGCTAGCGTTGTGATATTTATTGTATTCATGGCCCATACATACTGGAATATACGGACGCGGAGATAACCATACTTACATGGACCTCTGGTGCAAAACAGAGAAAAAAAAAGCTAATCAGTGTTCAGAAAAGACCTACTTTGAGGAGACGGGCTAGCACCGCTCTCAACTCTAACAGTGACTGTGCTTGTTTGCAAGATATGGTCACCCACGTACATTGCTTCTCTACCACTAGCTCCAGCCATTTCTTCGTCGACCAGGATGCCCCTTTGACTTGAGCCATCGTTTTGTTCTTCCTCGTCTATCGCAGTCCAGCTTCCCTCTTTACCCCTTTTCACAGCTCGTACAGTCGTAGTGACGGTTGAATGCTGGTATCTGTGCAATCGTGAGAGTGGGACAGTGCCATCATTCCTCGCGCCCGATCTCCCATACGAAGACATCGTCTCCTTCAAGAAAACGCGAAGGACGGGAATTGATCCTCCGACAATGGCAGTGCCAATCTCCACGACGGTCCAGATGACAAGGTCTTTGCCGTAGTAGGAAAAATCCCATTCCCGAAGCTGTACTACATATACTCCTTTTATAATGGCGCAGATACCTGCACTAACAGCCGTATTAGTATGACAATTGCCAACAGTCTGTCCGTGACTACAAAGCTGGACAATTACTCACAGCATTCCCAAGCTCATTGCAATACCAACACCAATTTTCTCACGAGATTTGAGCTGTAGGTTCCATATGAGAAACCATGGCAATGATGCAAGAACAAAATCGATCAAAGCTGACCAGGCAGCATTGAAGATGCCGTATTGGATTTGCGACTCTGCAGTCCAACAGACGTCACTAGACGTGTTCCATGTTGCCTCCATGTGCGGACACTGTATCCAGGGACCCACAACACTGGGGATCAGGGTGAGCAAAAGGGTAATAATGCAGAACCATGCCGTGGAGCGCAGGTGGCCTGACGTTAGGCGTAATAAAGTAATACCAAATGACATTTTGGAAAGTGCTGCGGCAATGCTCGATACCATAGATATGGCGGCAGACCCCAGGGCAATGGTCGGCCAATATTCGGTCGGAATGTCATTAAGCGGCTTTCCATAACCTAACTCGACGCCATATTGGGTAGCGACTGCCTGTGAAAGAAGCAGAATCTACTCATCTGAGTTAGCAAAGTACAGTAGCAGGATTCGATAGTAGAAATTCGACTTACCCACGAGGCGAGGAGCACATGGTCATCCCACCACAGCCCTTGTCTGCGAGTCACCTTGGCGTAGAATCTGAAGCCTAGGAAAATACCACTGAAGATGGCGAATGCCCATGATATTCCCAGGATCAGAGGGCCATGATTTGGGATCTCCATTGGAAGCCAGGGTAAGCTGGAAAGCCAGCAATGACAATCAACTGGAACAAGTATGCATTAACCCACAGAGAGCTGGTGAGCATGGATTATGAGCTGGGCGTAAGCAGCGGCTCGAAGACGAAAACAAGGAAAGGAGAAGGGAACTATTCAAGCATAATCTGCCCGAAGATTGCGCTGGTGGCTCTTCTTGATAGTCGGATGGGGAAGACCATCATGATGATTTTGCCCGAGGCACGGAATAGAAAGGAGATTATGGAAGCGATGGGATCCTTGGTGAGGCGTCTAGAATACGGCGCCGCGTGTTTAGCATTGGTGCACTAGGAGCATTGTAGTCGAGCCCTGTGCCCTGAGCAACGTTGCGAGCGGCTGAGTACGAGAAACACAGCGTCAGTAACGAGATCCGTCTGTATACACGGAAATCTATTTACTGTTGGGCCATGTATACGGGCACCAGGAACCAAGAGTCTTGGGGGCCAGCATGCAGCATGGTGGAGCAAGAAAGTGCTTTCCAAGCATTGAGCGGCCGGAGATGACAAGCGTACTGGTAGATTGCTTATTGCGGGCCGCCTACGTAAGTCACTAAAAACTGGGAAACCCCAGATTCGAGCACTTACGCGATGCAGGTCCGTTCCATGAATCTGACCAGTTTGCCTAGACCTGCGAGGCCAAGAGCAGCAGCCGGATAATTTTTACATGAACACATGCCTGTGCACCCGTATTGCGGCAAGCATGTGAATCGGTTGGGCTCTGCCTGTATTTTAACTCTGGCTGTCGGGCTGGATCAAGCTTTCCAGCTAATATCAAACGACGGTTCGTTTATTAGTGTGTGCGAAATTTGGGCTGGAAGAAGGCGGTGGCGGCCAGCTCTAGAATAACATGGCGTCGCCTTCACGCTGGCCACGCGGCAGACTACCTAGATAGTGGCGGCGGGAGCGGTGTGTATATGAGTGGCCGGGATCGATTGATGATGGATGCGTCGGACGGGAACATTAAGAGCGTGTCGTGTACACTATCAACCATGTAGGTGCGCGGCGATCTGGCCAGGGTCTGGGCTGATCCCGGAAAGCTTGGTATTCCGACTCCAATCACCCAACACGCTCGGACGCCTTGCCATCGGCTTGCGCACACACACACCACGCATACAGACGTATACCTAACACATAAAAATAAATGCATCCAGATTACAATCAGCGAATCCATCGTCGGACCCATCATGGCCAGTCGCTCTTCTATTCAATAAAACATGTGCGGCCTACCGGGGCATCCCCAGCAGCATCGAGCCCTACGACTTCTTCGTGAACTGGCTGAGCTTCTCCTGCACTGCTTTCTTGACATCAAACCCCTGTGTTATGCTGCCCCTCCGTCTTCTCAGTTCTATCTCTGCTTTCACCTCGGCCACAATCTCATCGACTACTTTTTCAGGGTCATCGGCAATACCCAAAAGTGGCATCTGGTGTTGGCTGCCAACACCAGACACACTATCTGCTGACACAGTTCTAGCCAATGTTTCTCTCCGAATTTCCTCTCGTGCGGCCTTCTCAATTGTAGGGCCATCAATTTGACTGGCTGGTTGTGCTGGTGGTACACGGGCAGTTTGCCGCTGCACGAGCATCTTTCGAAACGGAAAAGAACGGGAGAACAGGGCATACGACGCTGCGACGCCGATGAGCGCGTAGAAGTAGACGCGTGCCCAAACTTTGATCGTGTCCGAGAAGCCCAGCAAGATGAAGGGGGCGACGACAAAAGCAAAGACAGTTTGTGTCAACACCATGGTAAAGACATCATAGTACCGCTTCGTAGGTAAGGGCGATTTGCCATCAGGAGTCAGGAAAAGTGGGCGAACCAAGCGGCGGCCGTCTACACATGGTTAGTATGCCTCTCGATTAAAGTTTTGTGGGCAGACTGACTCTTTGCGGCAGTCTGTACAAATGCCGCTAGCACAAACGCCAGGTAGTAGCCAGGGTAAAAGCCATGCCAGAAGGCACTCGTAACAAAAGTTGCCAAGGTAGCCCGAAAGCCGGGCTTCTGGCCCTTCGGAGTTACGCGCAGGTACATGTAATTCTTCAGCCAAGAGTTCGTATTAATGTTCCAGTAGCCAAGGTAAGCTCGTGCATTTTGAGCGCTCTCAATCTCCAGCGGCATAATGTTGGTGAGGCGATCCCATTTTGGTCGATGTGTCTTGGGGTCTAGACCATTGTAACCGATGCCAGACAGGATGCATGCTCCTTCTGATAAGCTCCACACAGCATAGTACTTCATACGGGTAGTAAGTCCGAGCATGTATAGCTGCCACACCCTGCGCAAGAAGGTGTAGTGCATCCACTCGCCACCAAGGTAGAAGGCAGGGTAGTACCAGCTTGAGAATTTGATAAAGGCAACTAGCCAGAGCGTGCCGTACCCAGCTTTGATGGCAGCCGGCACTCCACTCCGAGGAATCTTACGCTTCTTTCGTGTCGGCGGGGCCCGGGAGGGATCTGTGCCTGGCGGGAGGGTAAACATGGTGGTAGTGATGTACTGGCTGTAGTCGGCATAGTCAAATGCAGGGCCGGCCATGAGACCTGGGAAGAAGAAGACATAGCCTGTATAGTCGAGGAGGCTGGGCATGGTGCGGATGGCATGTTCGCGTTGGAAATCAGTGAGGTCAGAGTCAGCGAGACGACCATCTTGCACGTTCCAGCAAAAGGCGGTAAGCTTCATTACCATGACCATCTGGGCACCGGTTATGTCAAAGACGGAAGGGTCGTTGACAGCCTGGCGGTAGATGTGGTTGACAGACATGTGGCCCATGAGGAAGACGAAGCCAATCCAGGGCATGTAAGGGGAGTGAATCTTGGATGCGATTAGGTAGGCGCCGCCCGCACTGATGAAGATTGTTCGAAGCCCGGCCCACAGGTCAAAAAGACCAACCAGGTAGAACATGGACACACTGGATCTATGAACAGGGTACTATGTTATACATGCAGATGGAATACGTACCTGATTACGAACAAGTTCTTCTTCCATGGATCCTTGTCAGGTATCCTCTTGAGGACAGCCGCAAGTGGATATGACAGGTAGAAGGAAAAGACGAGTTTTACTAGCCAAGGTCAACAATGGGCCAAGCAGATATGATGCTGAGGCTTCTCACGCTCGTCTGCCGAGTTTCCAAGTATGCTGCCGGCATACTCGAATGCTTCACGGTTGGTTAGTGCATGTGTCAGTATTTTGGCTTCGTCAACACGTACGAGCATTAATGTAGGGCAACATGGTGTTGAGTGGGAAGGTGGAAAGGAAGAGGTGCTACCCAGGGCAGATATGGATCGAGTATCGGACGAGAAGAGGGGTGTTATAAGTAAGATGCCATCTGGATAGTGGTAAGGGCAAGTGGATGGGTTGGAGTCGAGCAAGGTACGAGATGTGCACATGGCCAAGGGATGCGCAGAATGACGTTGGCGTAGTGGTCGTGGGCCCGTGGGTCGTGCGGAAGCGCTCGACGCTGAGTGGCTGGAGGCTTTGCAGCGCGGACAACCCACGCGACATCACCACATCACGACACTGCGCCATCGACGACCAGGCAACAGGCCTTGCGAGGTAGACGGTCGCCATGAGCTCGACATACAACCTCGAGCCCAATCCCACGGCCAAGGTGGTGCTGCACACCACCGCCGGCGACCTGGAGCTGGAGCTGTTCGCCAAGCAGACGCCCGTCACGTCGCGCAACTTCCTGCAGCTGTGTCTCGATGGCTACTACGACAACACCGTCTTCCACCGCCTGGTCAAGGGCTTCATCATTCAGGGCGGCGACCCCACGGGCACCGGCCAGGGCGGCCAGAGCAGCTACGATGGCGAGCCTTTTGCAGACGAGTTCCACAGCCGCCTCAAGTACACGCGCCGCGGGCTGCTGGGCATGGCCAACACAGGCACCAAGGACGACAATGGCAGCCAGTTCTTCTTCACCCTTGCCCCGACACCCGAGCTGCAGGACAAGAACACGCTATTTGGCCGAGTGGCCGGCGACACCATTTACAACCTCATGAAGATGGCCGAGGCTGAGATCCGCGACGGAAGCGACGACCAGCCCATGTACCCAACAAAAGTCACGGGCGCAGACATTATTGTAAACCCCTTTGAAGACATGGTCCGTCGGGTGCAGGCTGCTGTGCCCACAGAGGCAGAGACTAAGAAGCCCAAGAAGCCCAAGAGGAAAGCCGGCAAGAATGTCCTGAGTTTTGGAGACGACGAGGATACTGCTGGTTCTGCGCCCGTTGCGAAGAAGCCCAAGTTCAACACCAAGCTAGTCAGTGCAGGCGATGAGAAAGCACCATCCTCCAAACCAACAGAGCCAGCAAAAGCCATGCCCATACGCAACTCATCTCGCAACTCTCCCTCACCGCCTCCCGAACCCAAGCCTGCACAGAAACAAGCCCCCAAGTCACCGCCTGCGCCTAAACCCCGCTCGCCCCCACGAGAATTGTCGCCAGAGGCCGAGAAACGAGCAAAACTTGATCGTGTGAACCAGCAAATTGCCGAACTCAAAGCCTCGATGAAGCGGGGCACGCAAATTCAGGATGCAGCGCCTGTCAAGAAAAAGTCTCTGCTCGAAGCCATGGTACCCTCAACAACCACGCGCGGACGCAAGCGCGGTGCTGGTGGAAACTCAAAAGATGAGCAATCCTCGTTAGACATCTTGGCACGCTTCAAATCCAAACTCGAGGCTGCAGAGCCAGCCACAATGCCCAAACCAGCCGCTTCAACACTGTCCGAAAACACGCCAAACGAAAATGAAAGCGGACATGGTAACAGTGGTGATCAAGACGACGAAGCCGCATGTGACCTGCATTTCATAGTAGGCTGTCAGTCGTGCAAAGCCTGGGACGCTCAAGAAGACGAGGGTTCCGATGACGATGCAGGCTGGATGTCCCATTCGCTTAGTTTTGCAAAAGACAGGCTAGGCAAAGACCTTGAATGGAAGCGGAAGAACGAAGAAGAGCTACTGGTTATAGATCCAAGGGAGGAAGCAAAGAGACTCAAAGCCCAGGGTAAGGGCAAGAGAGAATGGGATGATTCCAAAGCAAACAAGGCGAAGCGATGAAGTAGCCATGTTGCACAACAAAACATTTTTGAGCAAAGAGTTCGTAATTAACTAGGGCTTGTGTGCTCTCCAAAGTCCCGCTAGGCGTTAACTATAAAAGCATTTATACCCAATTCATATCTATTATTCGGCATCTTAGCTGATTCCTAGACATAACTTTTGCTCCTAGTGTTCTTCTCCATGTTTGGTCGCTTGTGAAAACATGTCTTTCCAACCATCATACGTTGAATAACACATATCGCGCCACTGCGTAGACAGGCAGAAGTGCCGAGTGTTCTTCCACTACGTCATCTCTTTATTACCACGTGCTGGCGGCGTGAAGGCGGGAAAGTGAGAAAGCAAAGCTAATGTTTTGCTATTCACCTTCACTCACCTGCACGTGCTCTCTGCCGCCTGCATATCTTCCATGTCCTCCTTTCAACCAAGCTACACCACAACTACAACACTCAACCCTCACTGCAATTTGAAATATATTACGCATATCCACTTCAAGAACCTTTCGATCACCACTAAAGTAAGTTGACCCCACCAGTGAAGCTTATCAGCTTTGCACATTACAGTTGTTACGTGGGAACAATTACCCTACATAGAGCTCAAGATGGATTATCATAGCAACGCATTTATTCTGCCTAGCTAATTCTAGGTTTATTCTATATATGCACACCCGCTATCTCGTTACGTGTTTACTTCCAACTCTCACTAACAGCACACAGTCTTCGTTGCCGCCATGCCGACCAACTGGAACGACATCAAAGTCATTGAAGGCGTTTTGGTGGCATACCTTGCTGCCAACGACAACAAGGTACGTTTATTCTTGCTCTGTGCTGACTCCATACGCCATTGTACTAATATATTTCCTAAAGATCGATCTTAAAGAAGTCGCGCGGCTCTATGGCAACGGTATGACCTATGACGCTCTCGAGTCACATTCTAGAGTCTGGAAGAGACAGGCTAGAGATCTCAAGGCTGCAGCTATGGACAACACTCTTCCCACTCCCAAGAAGCCGCGTGCCAATAGCAGCAGCCCGACCAAGAAGACGAGTCGCAGTCCTTCCAAGAAGAGTAAGTACTATATCCTAGGGGTTATCGCATTGCTAACTGTTGAGTAGCTGACAAGGTCCAAGCTGGTCGAGTCAACAAGAACAAGTCAGTTGGAAGCGGCAAGGTCAAGACTGAGGATCTTAGCGATACTATCCATGTCATGGTCAATTCTGGAGACGAGATCGAGTGCGTCTAGGCACTGGTACGGCGAAAGCACTCAAGTGTTTTCCTCTTGTGATGGAAATAACAGGAATGGTGCAGGCGATCCATGTACCAAGGAGTGGGGTTCATGTCGGACAGGTGGGATTACTCTTGGTATGACGGGGTAATCAGGATACGGATTCAATTCCATGGCATAAATTCAAATCACATCTACAAGTCTAGACTCTTGCTTTGATTCGTCTCCTTCGCCCTGTGATCTACCTTGTGTGATGCTAAAGTGGGCATGGCGTTCCACGTGACTGCGCGTTGGCGCTATTCCTGGTTGGCGTACACATGCATCTCAGTCTCAACGTCATCATCCTACTCTTTAAACATTGGTTATTTATCAAATTTGCATATTGATATGCTAAGACAAAATGAAGGGTCTCTTCGTTCCTAATGGCGGAACACCGCTTACTCGCTGGAAAGCACTCGGGCGTAGTAGTACCTGTCCATCGCTTCTATACATCTTGATAAGCACCGCAATCCTCGCGACTATGGTACGTTTTCTTGATTCCAAGCCCATCGTCATTATCTCGGGAAACCAAACATCTCAAGACACCCAATTCTAGTATCTCTACACGTCATTTGGCCATGACCACATATTCTCTGCCTCTCAATTTGCAACTTTCCACAAATGCTCAATCAACACCTATCTGTCCACTGGCCTGCCCTTCCTAGACTCAGCACAACCACCGCCACTAGAAGAATACGTACTTCGACGCAACAACCTCGCTAAAGCGCTTGTTGCCGAAAACGTGGATGCATTCGTGGTAGAGCCAGGGTACACATTTAGTTACTACGCAAACGTGACACAGCAAGACTGGGAGTCCTGGGAGCCCGAAGAACGCCCATTTTTAATGGTCATCCGGCCTCAGACGCTGGAAGACGGGGGTATAGTGGCAAATACGTCGTTCTTGGTGCCGAGTTTTGAAGAGACGCGTGCGAGGCTGCTCGATATGCCATTTGAACATGATATCCACACGATTACGTATCAAGAGCATTGGGACTATTACACCACGCTTTACCTCTCTGAGATCTGGGGGGAGAAGCTATCACCCAAACTGATGGTTGATGAAGAAATACGCGACTTTATCCAACGCGGGCTGGCGTCGAATGGCTTTACCGTCTCAGGTTTGGCCGGTGAAGTGGAAGCTGTGCGACAAGTCAAGACGGAGCGCGAGATTAGCATTCTGAAAGCTGTTAATACGGGAACTGTGGAAGCTATTCGTGCCATGAGACAGTGTCTCTATCGTGGTGTGACGGAGAATGAGGTCAAACATGTGTTGGACGATGCGCTAAGAGCCGCTGGGCTCGATCCGTTCTTTGATATTGTAGAGTTTGGAAAAAGCGCTGCCTTGCCCCATGGCGGGTACGACGGGACCAGGAAGTTGGATGCTGGCATGTTTGTCCTCATTGATGTTGGCGCAAAATTACATGGGTACAGTTCCGACGTAACTCGCACATTTTATCCACCGTTTGAGCCAGTGCCGCCAACGACGTCGGAACACAATACAACTGAGCAGCTAGAGGTCTGGCAGCTTGTGCTAGATGCACAGGCTGCTGCTGTCAATGCAATGATACCGGATTCCACGGCCGCCGCGGTGGATCTTGCCGCACGCGACATTATCCAAGCTGCAGGCTACGGCGATTACTTTACCCACCGCCTAGGACATGGCATCGGCATCAAGGCACACGAGAGCCCATACCTCAACAAGGGCAACTCCGTAGCTACATTACGCCCAGGCATGGTATTCACTGCCGAACCGGGTGTTTATCTTCTCAACAAATTTGGTGTGCGCCACGAGGATGTCCTCGTAGTCAGGGAGAATGGGGAAGCGGAAAACATTAGTGGTGGCTTTGCAAAAGGACCGTGGCAGCCTTGAATACGGCCGGACTTCGTAGCAAACTCGAATGATTAGCTGTAGCCTAAGCCGAAAGAGTTATCTACTGCATTTTTGTTATTACACTGTTCAACGTAACCCCGACTTGTGTTCGCCACTCGGCGAACCTTCTTCTTCGGCACGCAGCTTTCATTCTGTTTTCTCGTCGCAAAAGCTTGCTTACAATGGCCATCGAAACACGTGCAATCCTTCCATGCGGTGGTATCCCCAATGTTGTCCAATCCCTCGGTACGCCGTAAGCAGATAGATGATCATGAGATGTCGCCCTCCAAACGT